TGTGGACATTGCTGCTATAAACATTGGGGTGCACGTACCCCTTCGGATCCCTACATTTGTGTCTTTGGGGTAAATACCCCATAGTGCAATTGCTGGATTGTCTCTTAATCCAGCCATGATCTTCATGCAGCTTGGACTTCTCAGAATGTAGGGTCCTGCACACATGAGCTCTACAGTGAGCGAATGAGTATTCCAGGAGACTAAGGCAAAAACTTCAAGGCTTCTTCTGATCCTCTCTTGAAGTCAATATCATGCTACATCATTTCCTCTCCCATCATTTTAATAAAAGCAATCACCCAGATTCAATGAATAGGAGCATGGGCATCACCTCTCAATGATCAGAATGTCCAAGAATTTGAGAATAAGCTTTAAAACTGCCACATACAGGTGATAACAGAAAAATGTATCAGATATTGAATTAAAGCGGTTTTAGTAACTGTTTTCAAAGAGTCTACTAAAAATTGCATACGACTTATTTTCTACTATACTCATCAACTCTAGAATAGTCAGAATTAGGAGGCATATACTGGACATGTGACGCATGAGCAATGCTGATGGAACAGAAACAGAATTGCTAATCAACAATTAAAAACCAGGTTTTTAATTCAAAATTATCCTATGAGGAGCTCAAGGGTTAAAAGAGATACCATTTAAAAGACAGTCTGAAATTTCTTTTTTTTTTTTAAAGATTTTATTTATTCATTCATGAGAGACAGAGAGAGAGAGAGGCAGAGGGAGAAGCAGGCTCCCAAGGAGCAGGGAGCCCGATGCGGGACTCAATCCCAGGACCCTGGGATCATGACCTGAGCAAAAGGCAGACGCTTAACCATCTGAGCCACCCAGGCGCCCAGTCTGAAGTTTCTTAGAAATGCATGTTTGAGAGCATGGCTGGCCCTTGAATGCAAAAAATCATACAGATTAAAACCGATGCAATTAATTATCTAGATGTTTCAAATGTCAGCATTCATTTATTGCTTTCATAGTATCACCAGTCATTTGGTTTAAATTTTTCTTTACATTTAGATGTTCTGAGTTGCAAATTTAGGCAGAGGATGTGAATCACCCTTAAGACAGCTTATCACCATACGTTGCTCTTGGGCATGAAAAATGAGAATAACCTAAACCTTTGCCACTGAGACAGGTAAAGGGTTCCCATCAATGGCCATTAAGTTTGAGTAATTGGGTTTTAAGGGGACAACTTGTAGTGTTCCTCTTTAGGAACCTCGACAGTGATCGTGCTTTAGCTGCATGTTGCACGATCCAACAGTGCAGCTTTGGCCCCACTCAGCCCATGTCTGTGTCACCACTGTTTGAACCCCCTCTATGGGATGCATCTGTTACCAATTCTCTTTCAAAGAGCATCTGCTGCCCGAGGAGGCAAGCTTTTAATATGTTGATTTATCATTGTCAGATTCAGGATTTTATTGCTTGCATTTTAATATTGTATTTAAGGTGCTTTTGTGATTACAGATGTTTTATATATAAATTGCTTTATATTAGAAAAATCTTTTTTTTCAGTATTTTTAAGGAAACGTCATATTCATGTGTTTTACATTTAAATATCGTCTTCTGCATTGCTGAGCGCTTGTGAATTGTTTTCCGTCTGTAATGGCAGTCGGCATGAGCAACAGCATCTGCGATTGTTCCTGCTTCAGAGGAGAAAATTAAATGTGGGTATGGGTTTTCTTTTCTAGGGAGCCAGAATTGATTAATTACTAAGGAAGCCTTTGACTGTCATTTTATCCCCAAAAGGGACAGAACAGGTCACTACATAGAAATAGCTTCCCGTTCCATAACCCTTGTAAACCAGAAAACTATGTCAAGTTTCCACAGTTTTCTCTCACTTGATTCTGTAGTCTTAAAAATAATCTGGAAGTCTGTGGGATTGCACAGTCTTTGAAATAATAGCACCATCTACTGTCTGATCCGGAATTCATTCATCATGTTAAGGAAAGAAGATGATAGAGATGGAGGGGGTGTTCTGAGTGGTTTAATGATACAGCACTAAGGAAATAATGTATAACTGAAAAATGTGAAAATTCTTACCTAAAATAGGAAAACAAAATGAATCACATCTGGAGTTAGTCACATTAACTAAACATTGTGTAATACTCCTTTTCATCCAGGAAGTTGATGTATTAAAGTTTATAGTTAGGGCAATGCCTTCCTCCTCCTCCTCCTCCTCCTCATCATTATTTTAGTTTCTCAGTTTCCTTAAATTTATTTTCTATTCATCTAGATGAGGGTGAAGAGTGGGAGAGGTAGACATAAAAAAGAAATATCTTAAGGAAATCCCTTCCTCTGAGCAATGCATCACAATGTAAGGGTAATTGCTTCATTTCTGAGCAGAGCGCCAGCCAGCTCTCAAGGAACACCTCGCATAGTGGGAGTTGCTAGGAGGCCTGATTGTTCCCTGTCCTCAAATCCTTTTCCCAAAGGAGTAATGTTATTTCATTAAGGAAACTCAACTGTCTGGATAAATGATCATTGAAAGTATGTCTCAGGGTTCTCATAAAAATAAGCTACTAGCTATTTGAAGAACATAGTGTAAAATTCAGGACATTCTCCAAAATCCTCCTTCATGCTGATTTCTTTCAATGAGCCAGAGGTCAGTTGTCACTCTGCTTCATGCACAGTTATTTCCTTAACCTCATAGCTCCCAGAGGACTGTTTTACCTCCCACACATATATTGCAGACTGTATATGACTCTTCTTCCCCCGGAATTGGCATTGAGTTATTCCGTATACAGCAGGATTTTTATGTTTTCTGTCCAGTTTATTATCTCTTTTCTAAATCAATTCAGGTTTATTTTCTCTATTTGGCCTTTTGCTTCCTTTTTTCTCACTTCCATTCTACTTCATTTTTTTTGTTGTTTAATTTCACAATGAGGCCTGAATAGAAATTCCTCATTTTAAAAAATGTTTTTATTTCTACAGTTTTTAATAATCAATGTCCTTTGCATAAAAGAATTAGGAAAAACGTATATCCTCACGATTGATTTTTCTTATTCTGGTCATTTTTTTTTTTGAGATGCCAAGAAATATAATAAGGAGAAAATAAACAATGACATTATTAAAAGTGTCATTTATGATCCCATACTTATTTACCAAATATGCATTAACTCTCCCCTATCTGCCAAAATATATGAAACCCCATTCTTACCTTCAGAGGAGCTTACAGTCAACTAAATCTTTCTTTATCCTCCTGTGTTTTTAAAAAAGTTTCTTTATCTGTTCATCTGTGGCAGCTAGATACTGACCAACTACTCAGTTTTCTACTTAGTCTAACCTTATTTTAGGTATTACCGTAAATCATAGTAAGGTGATATTTTGAGATATTAACTGTGTTTTATTTGCTGGGCAAAAAACATGGCTTTAGTAATGTACTATACATACAGGAAGATGGATGCAGGTGGCAAACAATAATAGTAATAACAACAACAGCAAAGTCAGTTGAGTTGACAAATACATTTTCTTAAACTCATGGAAGGAAACAACAGCCATGAAAGTCAACACATTTAATTCACGGTGCTAAGGGTTCTCTTTTCCTTTTTTGTTTCCTACATAAGAAGTCATTTGAGAGACAAAAATCCAAGCTCCAAAGGAAGCAGAGTAGTAAGATCACCTATAATGAGTTTGGATAATGATGATGCATAATACTTTAAGTGCTATGGGGTTACAGTTCATTGGCTGTGGGGACAAAAGTGAGAATTGGAAGAGGTGATATGGCTGAGATTAAAGTGAGGTGAGCAAGACACTTGCATTAGGTGCAAAATTTAAGGGGCACCAAAAAGTCAGGATTCAAGATAAGTAATATTTTCATGCAGTGTTTTCCAAAAAATCAAAATTAATACAGAAATAATCCATGACAAATGAAATAGAAAAAAGTTTTAATAAAGACGGGCCACAGGTAGGTGATGTCTCTGAAAGGACCAGAAGCCATGACTCTATCCCAGGTGAGTCTCAGGAGAGGGATGTCATGATGGACACCATAGATGGGTTTGGAATGGCCTGGGGAGGAGAAAGCTTTTGCTTGGCGGCACCCCTGCCTTCCGTCATAGTCCAGGGAACTCTAAGGGTTTTGGAGAAGCCATGAACATCTACAGCAACAGTTTGTTGGTTTCAAGAAAAGCCTCCTAAAGTCCCAAACTGTATCATCAGGGAGGGTAAACAGCTAGGGGCTTTATGAGGTTCAGAAGTATTGAAATAGTCCAGATGAAACAAAGATCCCGAGCCTGGGAGAAAGAGGACTTAGATGGGATGGACCAAGTGACTGGTTGTGCTGCACGGGACACAGGGTCAGCAACAGAAGCCACGCTTGTGAAAACACAATAAAGGAAACTCAAACTTCAACAGATATCATCAGGGTACAGAGAAAAGGCATACAACCAATGCCTAAGACACATGTAAATCCCCCCTACACCTCAGAAGTAAAACCACCCTGACAAAAAGGAAGAAAAGGAGAGGTATGTGTTTGACTCGGTTGTTACAGAGGAGTGGCAGAATATACTACCCCAAAATATGCCTCTTGGTATTAAGATATTTTGAGCTGATTATTTGAAAAACAGCAGACACAGGAGAAGCTCTGAGAACAAAGTTGAGGTTACCTTTTTGTAAGGGAAATGTATATATATATATATGAAATTTCCTTTTTTTTTTTCTGAATGAAAACAGCACTGTTTTTTATTTTTACACCACTGAATTAAAAGAATAGAAAAAGAACTACAGTTGGTATAGAGATTAGGCCATCAATACAGACATCTGAGTAACTCTTCTCTACATTTACCATCTTCTGCAACTGTTTGCTTCTGCTTTGTCATTCACTGACATTTCAACCCTGTCAGCTACTGTATCTTCGGATGCTGACTGGACATGGCCCTCCGACTGTCCTCCAGTATAGGTAGGGGTGCTGTACTTCAAAAGGATGGACTTAAACTGCATCAGAGGTGCATCTGTACGAACACCCATTGGGTCAAAATGAGTCCGGCTTACTCGAAAGCCTGCTTGAGAAAGATAGCACAAAAACTTTTTCAACTTTGGCATATTCATTCCTTTAATGCTGTGTCTGTGGATGTTGTAATAAAAGGGAGGATGTTCAGTACTGACATCAGTCTTTTGCCTCTTGGCTAAAGTTGTGATTGTTTCATTACCTTTTCTCTTTCCTTGTGCAGTGTAATTATCTGTTGTGGTATCATCTGTAGTTTTAATAAACACACCATATTCTTCTTGCTTGTTGAGATTTGAAGGTGCATGAACTGAAAACTGACTTTGAGGAGTACACTCTGATTCAAAGATTAATGTCTTTATTAGGGTCTGAATGTCATCCAGACCATGGTGAAGAGATTCAAATAGCATTCTTTTGAGGAATCCAGTATTGAAAAGGGAACTTGACCATAGTGGTCCAAGTTCTATCTCTGTCTTTCCAGGAATGTTTCCATGACAGTTACAGGGTAGCTGTCTATATGGGTTTTCTTCTACCATATTACCATCCTTCTGAAAAATTCTCTCTTCACACCACTGACAATGGATCAGGTACTGAATCTTCTTGGCTGTCTCATCTGCAGAGGTAGGCCCCCTCAAAACTCTCACGACAACCAACACAAAATGCTCCAGAGCCACTGCAAACAGTACCTCAATGCCTTTGTTACATCGGGCTGCAGCTCTTGCCACTGCAGCTACAACAATTCTGGCCGCTAGTTCCTTGTAATATTCAGTTCGGACAATATTACAGCCGTAGTGACGCCGGGCAACATGCTGTGTCTTGGCATATAAAGAACTGATATCTGTAGAAGTCACTGAAACTATGCCAAGGTTTCTTATATTTCTGAATGCAGAATCTAGATAGTTCACGGATGTTCCAAAAGGGTCTAGGTGTATGAAATCAAAGGATCTCAAATGCATCAGTACACTGGCATCCATTTTGGTCACCTTAATATTACCAAGGTCTTCCTCTCCTTCTTCAAGAATATCATCACTCTCTTCCTTTTCCTTACTGTCCACCCCCACTTTCAATTTGTTTAAATGGCAGTTTTCCTGAATCAGTGTCACAGAGTTCTCATTCAAGTCATTAATTGTAACCTTAACTGCACTTCCAAGATGTTTTGCCCATTGTAATCCCATTATCCCAGTGGCTCCGAAGGCATCTAGATATTCCAAAGGTTTTCGTTCCTCAGCCAAAGCAGCCAAGGTACAGAATATTAGCTGCCGATTTAGTTTTATTTTGGGATTAAAATAGGAATCTGTTTTTTGAGGTATAGAATAGTTAGGACAAACTTGTACATCTGTGTCTGCCTCTTTCAAAATTTCATTAGGTGGTTTTGCAGCAGAAGCAGCAATATACCTGGATTTCGTCTCTCCTTTATTCACATGTCGCCTAACATGTCCCAGCATATCGGTCCTTCTGGTGATTGTTGCTGTTCTCCAATAATGTTTGGTTTCACTGGTCGACAAGGTAAGTGACAGATGCACATCCTGTAACCTTCAAATTCAACTGAGACTTTCCAGTGTAAATTTTGAAGGTGACGACGAAGCTTATGGCTATTACAAGCTCTGAATTTCTCCTTGGGGCACAATGGACAAGACTGTAGATTTCCCTGATATATGCATCAAGATTATCTGAGTTCAATGAACTGGCAGAGTCAAAATCTTCAGCTACGAAGGCTAACTTCTCTAGATCAGCAAGCTGCCTTTGGATTGAGATGTGTCTCTCTGGGCCACCTCCACCTCCTCCTTCTCCTGGGTTAGCAGCTCCTCCTCCACCATATTCTCCATAGTTCTGAAATTTCCTTTTGTAAGGACATCTCCCTCTCTGTACCAGGAAGAGGAGGATGACTAAATCAAAAGAAACTCTCATCAGTGAAGAAGGCATGACCTTAAATCTGCATAAGAAATCTTACATTTGTTTATTATGCTTTTCTTGGTCATTTCCCCATAACTGGCCTCCCCTATATCCTTCTGTCTTCTGTCTTTAGTTGAAGATGGAATTTTTTTTTTAAGATTTTATTTATTTATTTGACAGAAAGAGACACAGCGAGAGAGAGAACACAAGCAGGGGGAGTGGGAGAGGGAGAAGCAGGCTTCCCGCTGAGCAGGGAGTCCGACGTGGGGCTTGATCCCAGGACCCTGGAACCATGACCTGAGCTGAAGGCAGATGCTTAATGACTGAGCTACCCAGGATGCCCGAAGATGGAATTTAAGCCTGAATTCTGAGCCACTTCTGAGAGTTACTTGTTTTTCCTTGGGTATCTCACATGTAAACATCAAGTATACATGTTAATAAACTTTCATTTGTTTTTCACTTATTAATCTTTTTGTTACAGGGTTCCTGGCTGAGAACTCAGAGGGATGAAGAGAAATGTTATTTCTTCTCCCATACATTAACCAAAGAAGACTAAATTTTAAGTTGCAAGTGACTGAATAGAAATGAGGTTTTAAAAGCTAAACTTAGTTTATTTTTAGAAAGTCTGATGTAATGTATGGTGATTAACATAACATAATAATAAAAAAATTTAAAAAAAAGAAAGTCTAAAATAATTTTTTATTCCATCTGGTAACCAAAAGTATGGTCCTTAGAACATCAGCATCAACATCACCTGAATGCTTATTAGAAATGCCAATCTTGGGGGCCACACCAAATCTATAAAGAAGAATCTGTGATTTAGTCAGATCCCTACCACGAGAAAAATAAAACAGTTCTTCTAACAAAAGACCACTCCATGTTAATGTAGAATGAGAGAGAGAGAGCATGCGCATGAGCGAGTTGGGGGTGGCACTTTATTTTAATATTGGATTAGAGTTCCATGCATGTAAGTTAGTGTGTATAATAGGGAAAAAATATTTTTCCCTCTACTCTTCTAGATTCTTGGCTAAGACCTCCCATAATAAAAGACAGATTAACAAGAGAAAAACAAAGAGAAGATTAATAATATGTATCCTTCATGTATACAGTGGTGATATCCAGGAGAAATGAGTATATTCCCAGAAATGTCCCAAGCCACCACCTTAAATGCTATCTTTAACTAAAGACAAAAGAAAGACATTGGGGTAGCCCAAGGGATGCCAGTTATGGGAAGTTAGCAGGAAAAACATAGTAAATAAGAGTAAGTTTTGTTATTCAGATTTAAATGCATGTCTTCGCCACTGAGAAACTTTTTGTTCATTTAGTCACCTTTCTCTGCCTGGTATAGAGAGGAAGACACTTTTAAAATAGAGATTTCCCTGATATATGCAAATTTCCTTACAAAAGGGTAACTACTACTATGTTTTCAGAGATTCTCCTATGTTTGCTTTTTCTCAAAAATAATCACCTCAAAATAATTCTTATGTCAAAAAGGCATATTTTGAGATAGCATATTCTGCAACTTTTCATGTGAAAGTGACTACAAAGTCTGGACAGAATTTCACACAAGTTTATACACAAGCAGAAGAGAGAACAATTAAAACTTCCCTTACTCCCTTGAGAGACAGGAGGATAAACTTTGTGATTGTGTTATCTGTGCTTGTGAGAGCCTCCTGAACTAATTCTAAGGTAAATGCTTACAGTGCCAGGGGTCAGAAGGCCCAGGAAATTGCATTGTAAAATCAAAAGCCTAAGATTTTAGATCAGACCCCTCATGTTCTCAGGGAGATACCCTACAGCAGTGGACTCCCTTCTCCAAAAAAAAGTTTATCATTTTACCCCTTACACTGCACAATTAATACTCAAATCCACATTTCAGAAGCATTATGTTACATTAGCGCCCTTAGTCAATACCTAAGTCTATGACTACAAATATGAGTTTAACGTTTCAGTCATCTTTCTTTCATGATTTCTTGGCGGTTCCCATTACAACAATGAGACAATGATCTAGAGCCAGGTCTGCAAACTTTTTGTAAAGGCCCAGACAGTAAATATTTCAGGCCACACAGTTGGTTTTGCAACTACTGAACTCTGCCACTGCAGCACAAAAATAGCCACAGGAATGACAGGATTATATTCCAATAAAACTTAATTTACAACAATAAGCAACATGCCAGGTTTGGCCCACAGATGATAGTTTTCCAAATTCTGTTTTAGAACGCTCTATGGAGGGGCGCCTGGGTGGCTCAGTTGGTTAAGTGACTGCCTTCGGCTCAGGTCATGATCCTGGAGTCCCGGGATCGAGTCTCACATCAGGCTCCCTGCTCAGCAGGGAGTCTGCCTCTCCCTCTGACCCTCCTCCCTCTCATGCTCTCTGTCTCTCAATCTCTCTCTCACAAATAAATAAAATCTTAAAAAAAAAATTAGAATGCTCTATGGAATGATTCTTCTGAATATAAGGCGGTGGTAGCTAATAAATAGGGTTTGTCACTCCTCTAAGGTCATTTCTTCATAATTCCTAAATTCTCTGGCAGTCTTTTGCACACGGCCTCTGCTATTATAGGATTATTTATCTCTGTGCTGAGTGGTCTTAGCACACATAAGGGCATGGCTTTGCTCTTCTCAACCTAGTTTATAGCACATTAAAACACTTAAAATGCTCCTTAACTTATGCCAACAATGAAATTCCTTGCTCTTTACTTTTTACATGTTATTGGTGGATCTGTGGTGTCCTTAAATTAATATAGAAATTCAGGCATTACATAACATAAAGTGTGGCAATTATAGAACACTTGAAAAATAAGTTTGATATTAAATAAAGTGATAGTATTGGTAGTATCTTTTGAATATATAATGGTTTCATATCTCTCCTTTGCCCCTTCATCCTTTGATTGTTAAACAACTAGGCCAGGCTGATAGGAAAAATATTCTGGGGGTTTTGGAAAATTAAATGAGATTCTCATGATCACATGGCAAATGGCCAAGTTAGACTTTGGCTCAAATTCATGTTTTCTACTTCCTATTCTGGCATACTTTTCATGGTAAAACAATATCTTCAACTAGTAATAGGACCATACATTAATGTGGTTGATAAAATCTGCAGTTAAAATCCATGGTTCTCTTCTAGAAATGTCTTCCAATTCATTAGTGACCTAAACCAGAAATGTCACAGGTGTTTCTATTTTCTTTTATCACACCCTGTCTCATTGTGCATTTCCTTTAACGGAAAAAAGAAAAAAATTAACTTGTCTTCAAGGAACTATTATGCACATCTTATTTTTATAAAAATATAGTAGATTATCAATTGGCTAATAAGCTTCTCCCTTTGAGTATGTTAGATTCTTTGAGATTTTCACAAATGTGTTAATTTAGCCAATGAAGTCCAGAACAAATACCACTCTCATGCGTCTCTTAAAGGTGTATTTGATCTCTCACATTCACATCCACCTATTGAAGATCATCTGCCCTAAATACCTTGTTCTTCTCTAAGCAAATATCAGTTGCATCTGAAAGTACATATTATTGAGCTTTAAATTCCATTAGGAGGTCTCAATTTTTATCTGTGTTCTCTTTCTCTTTCCATTACTGCCCTCTATATCTTTGGAAGGTATTTAATGAAGTAAAGAGAAAGGGACTTTTCAATTCTTGGCGTAATAGTCTTCCTTCAGGAATTGGAAACCTTTCAAGCACAGTGGTAAATATGGATAAGGTATGCAGGGAATGAGAGGGTCTCTCTTTTTATTTTTCTTCTTTGTCCCCAACATACTCTTACTTCTTTTAGGAGAAAAAATGTCTAGGTACTGAAAAATGACATTATAATGCAATTCTTTCTTGTTAGCACTAGTGTGATTCTCTTGATACTTGCTTACAAAAGTCTCCCAACATGTTTTTGCTATAATGAATGGAAATGTATTCCTTCAAAAACCTTTTAACTTTCTGCTTAATAGGGGGATTCAAAAGAAAGTGAAAAAAGTGGAAACAGCAAACTAGAATTACAGGTGCAGGTACACAGCTTGTATGTGTATAATGGACTTAGGTTGTGTCTCTGAAATGATTCGTATTCTCTGACTGTACTGACTATACACTTTGTATTTTTCTTTACGTATTTTTGCCTTGTTTCAGAAAGGATTTGAGGTATCTAGCAATCAGAAAAGACTAATAAAATGTTGGCAAAAATAAGTAAGAAGTAAGAATCAAAAATGAGGGAAAATATAAGTGGAAGTGGATAGTCATTACTGGATAGACTTGGTGAGGTCAGAAGGTGGAAGGTAAAGACATGGCAGGGAACCAACCGAATCCATTCACTCAGGCCCATGGTCCACACATCTGTGATTACTGAACCTTAAGTTAGACTCTATGTTTACTAACCACTAAAGCAAAAAGTAATAGCTATAGTTATCATAGAGCAGAGCTACATTTTTCTGTAGGCACTCGGAGCTGCACCATGATACTAAGACCTAAAAGCAAAAGTAAAGTACCATAATGTTATGGACTGAGTCATGTCTTCCTAAAATCCATATGTTGAAGCCCTAACCCCCACTGTGACTGGAAATAGGGCCTTTAAAAAGATAATTAAGGGCGCCTGGGTGGCTCAGTTGGTTAAGCGACTGCCTTCGGCTCAGGTCATGATCCTGGAGTCCCTGGATCGAGTCCCTTATCAGGTTCCCTGCTCAGCGGGGAGTCTGCTTCTCCCTCTGACCCTCCCAACCCTCCCCCCTCTCATGTGCTCTCTCTCTCAGTCTCTCTCTCTCAAATAAAAAAAAAAAAAGATAATTAAGATTAAATGAGGTCTTAAGAGTAGGGCCTTAATCCAATAGAACTGGTATCCTTGGGCACCTGGGTGACTCAGTTGGTTGAGCGGCTG